TTCAACCTTGGGAGCCTCAACCAATGGCACGGAAGCGTCAGTAGCAGCAAGGGGCGCCTCGACCTTGGGGGCTTCAGCCGAAACCTCGGTATCCTTTGCGGGGACAGCTGGGACAAGCTCCGACTCCTTCTTCTCAGCGGTAGGGCTCTTCAACTTCATAGCAAGACTGCCGAAGATGGAGGTACGCTTGGTCGGCTTGGGCTTCTTCTCCTCGACCTTAGCCTCAGTGGTTTCGCTGGTGGCAGGGAGGGCAGCAGTGGTGGCCTCTTCGGCGGGCTTGGGTTCCTCCTCGGAGAGAGGAGCAATGACGGTGGTAGCTGCTGTAAAATAGGTTAATAACATCATGCATCAACCATGGATCCGAACGTACCAGTTGTTTCAGGAGCAGGAATGGCAGCCTCAGTTGCGGTTGGCTCGAGAGCTTCTGTCTTCTCCTCCTTCTTTTCTTCCTTCTTCTCTTCGAGGTTCTCAATCTTCTCCTCGGTCTTGTGCTCGACCTTCTCTTTCTTACCCATCAGGCCGCCGAAGAAGCTAGTGCGCTTGCCGCGGGAAACGGAGCGACTCTTAGCCTTCTTCTTCTTTTTCTTGTCCTCATCAGAAGAGCTGCTGGAAGAAGATCCGGCACGAGCCGGAGTGGGCTCTTCAACAGTATCGGCTGGGGCAGCGACGGTGAGGTCAGTGCTCTTCTTGGGGACGGAGGTGGAGGTGGTAGCAGCGAGCGGGGCGGGTTTCTCTGCGCTTTATGTCAGCGATGATGCAGCGGGAACAAGCGAAGATTGCAACCCCTCATTTCCATGAGCAGTACAACTTGCGAAACTTACTGAGGCTCTCGAGATGGCCCTTGTACCCTTCGCTCTCGACAATATCCTTTTCGGCAGCCTTGGCCTCCTCAATGGCCTTTTCAAAAGCGACAAACCATCCATTGCGTTCAGGCGAAGTGCTGGCCTCAAAAGCATGCTTCTGGCCGTGAAGCTTGAAGTGGAAAGCGATAGTGCCATCTTTGGCAAGATCCTTGGCTTCGGACTGCAGAGAATAATCAGTACGGTGAACCACAGGACAGTATGAAATTCGTTCGTACAAGCTTCAGAACACCAGCCGGTGTCTCCTTCTTATCAGCATGCTTGGCGAAGAAAAGCAGACCCTTTCCAGTGTGGCTAGCCCAGGCAGCAGTTGGGTGCGCAACCTCAGGCTTCTCGCCGCGGAGGTACTCAGCAAGGTTCTTGTGCTCCACTGGTTCCTCGCCGAACCAAAAGTACTTCTTGGAGAAGCGGAAGGCGCTAGATTGCGGGTTAGTCATTGTCGTGCTCTAAGAATGTTGAGCATAAACTCACTTCTTCAGACCTGGGGCCTTGTAGCCCAAGGCACCACTGTAGATAGGCTCCTCCTTCTTCTCCTCCTTGACCTCCTCGACAGGAGCAGAAGCCTCAACCTCGGTGACTGGCTCCTCAACCTTTGTCTCAGCGGCTGGCTCACCAGGCTTGACCTCCTCGATAGCTGGAGCTGCGACAGCAGGCTCGACAGCAGGTGCCTCAGTGGCGAGTGACTTTTGAGCTTCGGACATTGCTGCGGTTGTTGATGGTGAAAAAAAAAAACTGGGTATCAAACGAAGAAGGCGACAAGTGAAAGATACGGGGGACAAGAGCCAAGCTCAAGACGGCGCTATATTACAAAGTGTATTGGGGGAGGAAGCTCAGGACGATAGAGAACTGAGGTGCTTGGTGATAGAAGCTCGATCTAGGGGATCAAGAGCACAGCGTAAAGTCAGTGGTGAGAGGAAGAAGAGAGAACGAAAAAGCAGAGGGTGCTGGTGAGGGCACAGGGGCAGCTTTTGTGGTTTAGCAGAAAGGGTCAGGGTTGCTTGGGGCAGGGATGTCAACTCTAGCGCCCTCCCCGGCTGGCGAAATTAGTTTGCTGGAGAAGGGCACTAAGGGAAAAGCGGCCATGGCCTCAGCGCTGGGCACCATGAAGCTCCGTTTTGACTGGGCAGTCTGGCTGCCCTGAGGCCCCGCCCAATAAAACGTGATTTCACAAGCAGTTATGCAGCGCCGGAGCTCTGAAACAGAGACGCCTGTCGCAGCGAGCATTTTGGTATGAAATCACCGACTCCCTCTCGTGTGTATGGGAGAGAAGAGCAACAATGTCTACGGAATATCAGGAGGGCAATGTCGATCGTTAGACTACAGGGCCGGCTGGTACATGGCTTTGAAGGTTTCTTCCGCTCCAGTGCGAGGCCGGCTCTGCTTCTTCAGGCCCAGCACTGATATGATGCTGGGTTTGGCTGCTGGGGGCTGTTCTGATATCTCTCCCCACGGAAGGTCGCATGACCCAACCCCTCTTCCACCACGACTTTTTGCGCAACTTTGATCTCACGACACAGCAAGGAAAACAGACGGTTGCTGCCGTTGTCCACAGTACTGGGATGGGCGAGATAGTATCATTTATAATGCTACAGTCTCTGTGACTGCCGCCATTACTTCTGTGTGATAGAACTGACGTCCCTGTTAAGGTTTGACGGCGTATGCACTCGCAGTCGCAGTCGCAAGGCACCGTTCCTCATAATGAAGAAGATTGGGTGCTCCGTCCTCCGGTCTGCTGCCCGTTCATGGTCGCATCTCGATTCATCTGTACTCTGTGCTCTGTGCTCTCTTCTTTGTATAACATTTGCGTTTGTGAGGCGGCCTTTTGAAGTCTTGCTGTAGTAAGAACAAACCCATCATGCGCTGCCTTTCCCTCCTCGTATGATTGCACACTACAACGCGAAACTCCGACCGTCCAACCGACATTGCACAAACCATCACTCCTTTTCCCTTTGCACAACTCCTTCATCCCTATCAATTTCTTTCGCATACAGGGCCTCGCGCAGGCAAGCAGCGGTCAAAGCTCGCAAGGCTAGACACCATCAAGACTAGCCCGCCTGAGACCCTTTAGCGCTGCAACGCCTGCAGACTGCCGATCCCCGTTTTGCAGAAGATTCAGAGGACCCTTGCACGCATGTCGTACGCCACGGAAAGAAATTATTGACGAAGGGAGTCTGTCACGCGAACCCGCATTACGAGAGACGGAAAACTCTTTCTTCATGTTCGAGATGTCGTCTTCGTCTCTAGAGTCCAATCTGTATGAGGTGACAACCTGCTTCAAGGCCGCCATGTGGGTCGCAACGGACACCAATAAAGAAAAGGACACGGGCAATTTCCATGGAGGCTAACGGGAATTAGATCCTGAGCTCGGTCGCCCGCATAGCATGGCGGGTTCAGGGTTGACCATTCGCATCTGAGCCCCAAACCTCAGACCTTCTGAAACGTAAAGCTGACATTCAAAAGACAGTTTGGTCATCATCCTCTGGCTGAACGCCTCTACGGAAGTCCTCACCATGAAACGACTGCTGGATATACTTCAAATTATACGATCGCGATGACAGCTTTAACGTCCTGCGCGAGTACGAAAATGTCCTCCCGATATATTGAAGCAGCATGTCCCGGACCGGGGTGGTTCATTAGCAACGGCTATCGCATATTCGCATATTCCAAGCTTACAAACACAAGCGCCTGTAAGCGTTATTATTCAGTATCATCAGCTAACCAAGAAGGGACACTGACTAAGATAAGTCAAAACGTGAAAGGATTAGCGTAGTATCACATGCGTTCACGTCAAGCTTAGAGCAGCTCTTCCTGAGCTCTTCTAGAGGTTGGCTCTTATCACACGTGACCAATCCCCTTATCGCGCGTAAGGGTTCCAGCCGCCTATCCAGTACAAGCAGCTTACAAGCGGTTCGAAACAATACCTGCCCTGCTAACACCGTAGGCTGAACCACCCTGTCCCGGACGATCATGAGGGGCATTCCTATAAGATCAACCAAAACCAACTCATAATACCGTGAGATCGAAATTTGCAGGAAGGAAAAGTTATTGCTCTCTTGGTGGAATGCTAATGAGCTATGATTACAGACGATTCCGTGCTTCTGCCATGGACATGATTTCTCGTCGCCAAAAAGGGCCATCCCATGAACGTTCACCCACGCGCCAAGGACCACCTGCTAACACGTGATAGGCATGCTGCAACAGACCAATCATCTAGCATTAATGCCTTTTCGGCTGTTTGACCTCAACATCTCAACAAAAACTCCACAAGCATTCGCAAGCTGTTGGCCAGTTCCATTTCTTATGAATTCAACAATTCTTTCAGGCCGCAAGCCAAATTTTCATAGGAGGGATCACAGCTGCTGTTGTAACGCCTAACTACTTGGTCAGCCTGTCAAACCATTTCCACTTTTCCCTTCATCAATTATTGAGAATTTGTAACTTGCCACCTCTGAAGTTTGGGAACTCAGACGTGAGCTCTTGGCCCTAGAAATTCCTTCATCTCTCACAGTGCAGTTTGCGGCCCCGACCTCAATAGTTCGTCGAACCCCGATAGCAGATCTAAGAGCCGCAGCAAGGCGGTGAGGCAGTGGAATCGGCGTCGTTCGTCTACAAATTCGATACGGCTCGCTATTGGATTGTGCCAAAATACTAGAGGCAAGGCGCCAATATATCGCGAAATCTAACTTTCTTCTTGGTTCTGTGTGATCTCCTTCTCAGCACAATGTTCCGCGCATGTTGGTGCTGTGCGAACTCACATAACTTTGTTCCAACAAAAAATGGTTCCACACTCATAAAGGGAGGTACAATTTACCTCTGTTGCAAGCGCCACACTACCCCTTTTGAAAGTGGAACCATCCACGGACCATCGGCCCACCTCCACTTTCAGCGGCTCCACTGCAACACCAGAAAACGTCGGGACACTCCGGCGCACTACTGATAAGAATGCGCGGCGGATTCTCTGTCTCTACAGCATTTATTATTGTATACTTTTGATGCACCGTCTCCGTTGACCAAATTTCCACTTCCGGTGCTCGGCAATCAAAAGTTTTGCCCGATTTTATTTATACCCTTATAATATAAATAAATAGGAAAATACTTCATCAAATCAGTTTCTGAGTAGTGAGTAACTACAACTTGAAAAGTCCTATGGTCTAGTGGTATGACGTTCGCTTCACACTTAAGTGAAGTTCAAGCTTCTCGAAAGCGCGAAAGGTCCTGGGTTCGATCCCCAGTGGGACTATGTTTTTTGCTCTAAGTTCCCACGGGTAATTTTATTTTCTCGATTACCCACGTTTAGTTTACTTATATAAACTAACAACGCTTTAATTCGATCATGTTCCAGCCCGTTTGGCTTAGTGGTACAGCGTCTCACTCGTATACTTCTGCGTTATGAGAAGATCCTCGGTTCGATTCCGAGAATGGGCATTTTCTAATCAGTTTTTTTTTTGATCACTTTATTATCACTTGTTTCCTTCTGGCCTAGCTGTAACTGGGTTTCGGCGACGTTGGAGATGCGGGTAAGACGAGTTTCAGGGCCCTTTGTTCCTCTACTTTCGTACCTTTACGTTAGCATTCTCGCAAATAGTGCTGTTGTATGGTAGACAGATTGTCGTGCGCTCTGTTCCTTACCTCTTTTTGTCGTAGACGACCTTAACAGGTTCAGGCTTTGGCAAAAGCAAGTTCTCCATATAGTTCTGATTGGTCGGCAATAACCTCGAGTTTGGCCCAGATATCGAAGTCTGGATCCCGATATCATGTTCTGACCTTAGCAGCTTCTGGCATCGCCAAGCCCCTCATAACCCCTTTACTCGTATCCAGAAGCACTTGCAAGACACGGCGTTGCCTTTCCGCGTTGGCACTCCTCAGCTTCACCACCACAGCAATTCCACATCCAGATTCCCTTCTCCCTATGTGGTATAAAGCTGCAAGGTAATGTCTAATCTCAGCAAGAGAACTCTTCCTATATGCCACTGGAAATGCGCAGTCAGGTATCTTCTGCCTTATCGAAGACCAGGATTCCTAAATTAGAGCTGATACCAAAGGCTGGCAAACTTGCGGTAATCGGTAGAGACACTGGGCTTCCAGAGAAGCCCAGCCGGCAGAATGCCCAAGTAGAAGATAGCAATTGCGAGGAATTCGAACAGGCCGAATTCACGGCGAACTAGAAGCTGGTTCTGCGTGTAGTAGCTTTCCCAGTAACTGTTTCTGTTCCACCGAGGTAAGCATGCAACCGGATGGGGCCACATACTTCAAACAAATGTACCTGGGACATAGGACGAATAGATTCTGTTGGGTCCCGAAATGGAGGTTTGAAAGAGATATAGATATCTGGTGGGAAAAATTAAGAAGGAGAGGGGTGTATTATATCGATACGATGCGTGATGGTACAACAGATATTGGCCCATACCATATCCTGCAGTTTGCGAGAAAGCGATGTGTAGGTTCTTCTTGCTCAAAGCCAGGGAAGAAAGATCCGAGAGAGGATGTCATTGTCTTGGGTGCTGGGGTTGCAGTAAAGTAGACCTCATCAGTATAGGTGGAGCCCACTAAGCCTGAACAGATATACATACTGCAGCGTAAGGCGTGTTGCCTCTTCGGCAAAAGCCATGGTAGTGAGTGGGGGTGCGTTGATGAAGCTGAAAAAGTGCTCTTGAAATGCTAAACTAGGACGATCCAAGCTTATAATTACTCTCAAAAAGCCCCGATGGAGATTCTCGCAACCAGATCTCGCGGACATTCCCACACCAAGCCAGCGTCACTAATTTCTGCCCCCCAATGGGAGGTTGCTGGCGTGCTGCATGCTATGGGCACTCCCATACCTCAATTATCGTATCAGCGTAGGCTCCACCCTTCGAAAAGTGTATCATTCGTCTGAACCCGCAGACCTAGTCCTAACTTTAGCCGGGATGCATTGTGAGTCTAAGCAGTAGCTAAAATTGAAAGGTGTACTGGCTTCGGTGATTGGGAGTTTATTTTGAATGGATGAAGTTGAATAAAATATATGTCGGTTGTTCACCATAGAAACAATAGATTGTAAGGAAAGTAATTGCGAAATATTTTGTTATCTGGAAAAGCTTTATGGAGGTTGGATAGAGCCTGATGGGATTAGAGGATTATCCCTACCATTGTCCCTTAGACTCATGGTGTTCGCTGAGCATTATATCATGAGTTGAATCCCACAAACACATCACACTAATACATACGTACACAATTCTTCCTGGAAGGTTGCTTGCTTCATTTCACTTCTGTCTTTAATCCTTCTTTCACGATTTGCAGGTAATGCACCGGGGCTATTCTTTTTATCTGTTAAGATGGAGTGAGTGCCCTTCACAGATATCAAACGGAGAAGGAAACAACGTAGACTGAGATCCTTGGGAAAGTGGGTGAGGTTTTCCTTTTCTGGACCATCCGTTTTTTTCTCTGTTATTTTTTTGGTGATTTCTTCTCCACTGTTCAAAAATATCTTGCTAATTCGAACCCAGTCTATTGGGTTATACCAGTTTCCCCAACCCGACTCCGACTCCGAAATCCCTCCCCTCTTCCTCACCTCCTTCACACCCCAGTAGATCAGCCCAGCTGGGCCGAATCATCCAACCGGCGGGTGTATCTTAAAGAATGTGAATGCGATATGAATATTCAGCGGGAAGGTGGGGGAACGAGGAAGGTAAGCGGTAAGAGGAGGAGCAAAATGTGTGGGATGAATAAAGGGAGATGATGGAGGAGATTATACGATAATAGAGGCTTTGGAAAGGCAAAGGACAGGAGAGTGGGAGAGAAGAGGCGGCTGGTGATAGATGGGTGAGGTATCGGGATGAAGGAAATGGGAAGTTGGGGGGAATAGAGGAGTTCAAGGCAGATGGAGAGAGTTGCTTTGTATGCCTACTGGGAAGGCAGTAGTGGTGAAGCGTCTTTGGGGTATAATTTTGCTCTTGATGGGGAGGAGGGTTAGTGGGACGAAATGTTCGTGGGAGGGACAGGGGCTGTATTTTCTTAAGGAGGCTTTTCTTTGGGGGTTGAAAATAAACCATGTTAGGACCGTTGATGTTTGACGGTTTTTTTGGTACTTTAACGTTATAGTTAGATGTAAGATGACTAGCTTTGATGCAATTACTTATAGCTAGGGCAAGGTATTAGAGTCACTTATAAGGAATGAAATAAAGGCTCAGGTATGCAAAGCGTGCTTACCTATTTTATTCGTCTCCCATGTAGGGTAAGGTAAAGTAGCAATAATGCCTTTAAAATGTCCGGTTTATTTTTTAAGGCATTCCAGTCAATTTCATATGTTCTAAACATCATAATTTTTAACTGTCTATAAAAGTGCAAGGGTAGCTGTACGTCTATGTCTAATGAACGAACACTTATTAAAGCCTCTTCTCTCTTCCCCCTTATATCATCCCTAAAGCTACCCACCCCAGAAATAACTCCGCCGCGAGTGCTTTTTTTAATCCCCTCTAGCTGCTCTAGTGGCGCTGCTCAGCTTATTGAAGGGTGATGGAATTGTGGCAGCCATCGTTTGTTCTGATTAGGCGTGGCCAACTTAGCAGGCGATGAGGCATGGATTGCTTTTGGTGAAGCAGATGGATGATCAACTACACGTGGGTGGTAGCACTGAGATACCACAATTCACACACTTTCTGATTTTCTAGCTTGGAGTAAAGGGCGAAGTGGTTTCGAAAGCTACTCCCTTATTCGATTGCAAGGAGGAGAGTGTGAGGAGTGCTTTGCTCTTTTGTAGTAACGAATTACAGACGCACTATACTAGAGAAGTCCTAGTCTCACAACGCTTGAGAATGGACGTATGACTTTCTTATATTTCCAATAGTCGTTTTGGCTAATTGGTGATGTTAGATAAGGGGTGTATATGCTCATTGCCATTGCGTAGCACCCTCCATATCACAATATCACACTGCAGGACCATCTATCTTCGACATTCCATACATATCATTGTACACCCCGCCCATAGGTATACACCCCGACCCATCACAACCTGCCTAGCCGACCGCCTACATGTCCAAGCCCGATGCCTTAACTTCAAGGCCTTTGCAGAGTTGCATAGCGCGCTGTTGAAGGTGAGAAGAGATTGTCAGCATCTGAAGCCCCTACATACTGCCTGTTGCGCACTGGCTCATTTCCATCTCAGCAACTCAATTAGAATTCGCATTCTCTGTCTGCCCTATGCTACAATATATGTATAACGGTCAAAACGCGATGTAAATCCTTCCGTCCGTCTCAATAACCCGGAGATTGATACCCTTCGAACCGAGTCGTCTGTGTTCCCCTGCCAAATTATTCTCATTCTATACCGTATGAGCCTCGAAACCAACACTAACACTACTGTTGGTATACGATCCAGCCCTACCCCTTTGTCTTTAGCGGTTAGAAACCACCGAGAGATTTCTCGAGGTACGAAACAGACCTGCAAGACAACTTTCTCATCACTCTCACCCATTGCTGGGACTGTGATCTTTTTGTCACGAAGATGACGTCTGCGCCGTCTACATACAGCTTCACGGCCAGACGCGTTTCGCCTACATCAACAGCATCCGACTCGGGCCGTTCCTGGACTTCGACTCATGGTGCAATGGCCTCCATTCTGTTTATTTCTTAAACTCTCTATATCTCTCCTCTATCCGTGCGAGCACCCCGATCCATTTTAGGCAATGACAGCCCTTGCGACCACCCACTAACACAGATTCAGGCGAACAACATGAGAGAAATGCATCCACATCGCCAGCCGATGAGGGCCATGAATTACTCTTCGTCACGGCTACGAACCCAAAGAGATTCAAGGATAGAGTGGTTATGCGGGAAGTTCGAAAGCATGCAACGAACAATTATTTGGGAAAGAACTGCAAGAATACTTCGTCTGGTGGCCGGAAATGATGCTGTCACTGAAAGGATAAGCGACCTACTATCCAAAGAAGACGCACCTAGGATTTTCCAAGGCGGCCGAAATGACCGGAAATCGTATAAAGGAAAAGGTCGGAGGCAAAGACAGAAAAGCGACGATTTAGTAATGACCGAGGCTAGTAGTGCTGTTATTGAAGAGACAAGCGACATACTATCCAAAGAAGACGCATATAGGATTTTCCAGGGCGGCCTAGGAGAGGAAGGTACTCTGGTGTCATTACAGACCAACTTGAAGAACCAAGTCATCGCACCCGCTAAGGGGGATTCCGGAGTCGAGCTAGAAGCGGTAGTTGATGGAGTACCTTCACAGCCCGATTTGGAGAATCTAGT